ATGCGCGGGGCCCGGGGAGGGGGCGGGGGGGGGAGCGGAGGGAGGGCAGTTCCCGGGCCGGGACCCCCACGGGCGGGCCTCGGGGGACGGGTGCCCGGGCGAGGAAAGGTGAGGGCTTTCCCTTCCTCCCGACGGGCGCCGTGGGAAGGGGAAGTAGGGAAAGCCCGGCGGGTGCGCTTTGTCGCTCTTGAAAAGCAGGGAGCTGCGGAGCGCCGGGCCCGCTCCTCGGCCGGGCTCTCAGCCGCCGAGACCAGCGGAGGGGACCGGCAAACGCCGCCGCTGCCAGCCGGCTCCTCGACGTGTCGCTGCTGGGCCCGTTCCCCCAGGCCGGCCGGGAAGTGGCCGCATCCCGCGTGGATCGCACCCGCACGTCCCTCTGCCGCTCCCGGTCCCGCAGAACTGGCTGGAGCCGCTCCCCGGCGTCCCGCAGCCGGGGCGTCGGGCTGCGGGACCTGGTGCAGGACAAAACCTCCACAGGGAGCTCCGGGCGGCGGGCGGCGGCAGGGGATGAGCGCAGCGACCCGGTTGTTTCGGCTTCCCTCCCGCGGTAGCGCGTCCCGCCGGGCCGCGGCCGGGGCGGCTTTCGGCAGGTCGGGGATGCTGACCCGGAAACCGCCGCCAGCTACCGGCACCCTGTGAGCGCGACCTACAGGTACCGGCACCCCGTTTCTGGAGGCGAAACTAACGCTCCCGAGCCGCCGCCCCCTTCCCCGCCCCGGGCCCCAGCGGGAGCCGGCAGCCTTCCCCGACGGGGATGCCCGGCAGGCCGCCGGCAGCCCGCTCCGCTGACAAGCGGCGACTGCGAGGAACTCTTACCCGGTGCCCCGGGCGGGGGACGGCGAATCCTGGGCTCCCGCACGGCTCGGCTCCTTACGGCCCGCTGCCGGGCGGCCGGAGCCCCGCGGGGCGGTGTGCGGGAGCAGCACCAGCCGGTCTCTCTCCGAGGGCACGGGTGTGGAGCCGGCCCGGCACCGCAGGCGTCCGCCGGGGCCCCGGCACCGGGCTCTGCTCCTCCAGCTCTGCCGAAGACACAACGCCGGGTCCGACAATGCGGCGAGGTTGCCGGTGGTCTGGGACCCGCTTCCCCTTGGCCGGCCCTCGGCACCGCCTGCCCGCCGCCCTCTGTCCATCCCCGTCCCCCGCATCTCCGCCCGGTTCCGCCGGCCGTTCCCCACGGCCGGGGCTTGGGGGTCCGGCCGTTCCCCCCCCCCCAATGCCCGCCTGGCCGCAGCCTACCGGAGGCGCTTGGAGGGGCAGGGACCGCGCAGCGG